AGAGAGTTTGATTTGCTCAAGGCTTAGCTCTGAGCTTAAGAGGCTAGCTTGAGTTGAGAGCGTTCACCTACAGCTGTAATTGAACCTAGCTAATCTGCCTGTTCTTTGTGGCACAAAAATGGCCATATTCTTAGAATGAGGCACCAGAAAACCTTTGTTTCACTGAATTTTGGGGAAATCAGTGCTTGCTCTGATCCATTTCCTCACCCTCAAAAAGCACCAGTATGAAGACTGTTCCCTTATAATCCTTCAGTCATGGATATGCTATAGCATCCCCAACTATTTCCCAACATTTCACTCACTATATTTTAGAGTTTGTTCTCTAATCTTGTTCCAGTCTTTCTCAGTGCCCTATAAATCCATTACTGCTTAGCCTATCTACCATGTCTTCCCTGCAGCAGCCTCTATGTGACTGAAAACTTCTGTCTTCTCTCAGTCCCTTCTTCTGTCTTGAGAACTTCTGTCCCTTGAGACTAAGCAATTCTAGTCTTTCCCACATAGGTTTTGTAAATTACTGGTATTTATCACTGCTTTCCTATATTACTGAAGGAAGAAAAAAATCCCTTTTAAAAGTTTTCTGAGCACTTTAAAGAAACCCAAGGCAAAGTATATCTATTAGTAGGAAAAATAAAAATATAATGAAGTACCCTTAGACTGGAGGAAACCCAGAGGATAAAAACCTGTCATCACCACATACAACTTCCCTTCTACACCAGCCAACAGTGGATTTCTCCTGCACAATCTACCTTTTCCTGTGCCCACAGGTCTGTGATCTTCCTTGTTTGCTGCCACAGCCGTTGAATCACCATTTATGATATCAAGGAAGAAATCAGCTGGATTGTTGAAGGGTTCACATTCATATCCTTGAAAAACGAAAACAAAAACAAAACCACACATGCAACATGTTTGTATTGCACAGACCACAGCTTGGAAGGTCAGGTCTAATATCTATATCATACTACATCATTCTTCCACAACCCTGTTGCAAGAAAACTTCACTGCTTTCCATGAGCATTAGTTTACAGCAGTAGAATGGACAGGATTTAGCAGATGGTGAATCTGAGGTATCAGTACAGAGCTTCAAAGTTGCTTATTCTCCCCTGATTTCAGGTGAGAAATCTGTAACTTGCTTCTACACAGCTCAGCATGGACAACTCTTGCCTCTTTCCCAGTGCTGTTCAACCACATCCCACTCTGAAAGACACACAGTTCCTCAGCAGAGGTTGCTGGATGTCTGCTCTACAGCCTCAGATGCTTGCTCTAGAAGCTCAACTCTTGCTTGTGTTTCCTTGGTCACAAGGATGAGGAAGAGCTGTCCAAGAGTGGTTTCTTATAATAATATGGTATGAAGGACAATGAGGAAACAAAAGGAAAAAAAAAGGATGCTTATTCTATTGCATTCCTGTGAGAAAGGAAGTGAGGTGGGATCCTAAGAGGAGGAGTAGAAGTAGTAAGATTGGTTAAAGCATCTCCCTTAGAGCCAGGGAAAGCTTACAATCCAGTGTGTCCGTGGCTGCATCTAGACTAGATTGGAAATTTACTCCACATTCTCTGTCCATTATAGTCAGAAACCCTCACCTTGCTTACTTGGAAGAGGGGGCAGCCACCCACCAGTGCAATTATTAACCCATCTTAAGACACACCAAGATTTTGTCCTCTCGGTCGCCCACCTGCATTGAGACTAGAGCAGATTCTTGGACCAGCCCCTACAGATTGCTCCCAGCCTGCAGGCTGCGGTTCAGACCCTCTGGGTCTCCCACCTAGGCCTGGCAGAACTGCAAGCATCATCTTCTCTGTTGTGCATCGTCCAAGCGATTCTGGCATTTTGTCCTGATACAAGGCAAAACAAAGGCAGGGGAGAGCCATGCTCTGTGTTGTCTGAAAAATGTTGGGTTTATCACTTTGGGTTTTTTTCCTATTCTAACATAACATTGTGCAGACTGTATGCGTACAGCCTCTAGAGTCCTAGTGATAAAACAGCACGGGACTGTTATCCAGAGCTAGGGTAAGAATCTACCCGCAGATTAAACTCATTAGGCAGTTTCCTTTGCTCGTGGCACAGAAGACTTACCAATAGAACTAAAGTACTCCAGGGCCTGCTTTGCAGGACCATGGTACAGCACCTTTCCCAAAGCTAGTAACGTCAGACTGTCAAACAGCTTGAATATGGAATAGCGGGGCTGATGGATAGAAAATATGATGGTTCGCCCTCTTCTTGAGAGCCTGAAATAGAAACAAAACATCTCTCAAATACACCACACTTCGCATTTCAGAAAGGTCATGTTAACCCAAACAAAAAATAAGTATCCAAATCCAAGACAAACACTTGTCAACTTCTCAGGGTCTCAACCCAGAAAAGCTGTAGTTCCCCCTTCTCTGTCACTGTGTCAGATGCTGCCTGCGAGACCCTCAAGACAGCAGCACCCTTCATTACAAAGGACCGTCATTGCAGTCTGTGTAGACAAAGTACGGTGTTTTCTGTAGCTAGCAAAGGTCGAGGCCACAGCTGTGTATAAACCCTCCTTACAGGTTTTCTATACCAGGCTTCAACCTGACTAACTGGAAGAGTCCTACTGCACGCAATGGCAATACCAGGCTTTACACAGCAGGCTGTGGAAGTCTGGCCAGCTGAGATTTTTCTTCAGGTTTGTCAGACTTTAGCACTGATGCCCAATAAGTATCCTTGCCGATCAAAGACCTCTATCCACAAACAGCAGAGTAAAATGCCCCCACAGGTAAAACCAGACAACATACTACAAACCCAGGAGGAGGGTTAGAAACTCATTCTCATTAAATAAGCCTTGTTTGGTCCTCTGTACCAGAAGACAATTCATCTCCAAAACATAGGGGGCACTGTGGGTAAATCTGCAGGTGAAGTCCTATCTGAGTTCAATGCCATTGCCAGAGTGGAGGAAGGGACTTTGTAATAGACTCAGCTGGAAGTCCAAAAAATTATGATTGCAAGACCTGACCTCCCAGTCCACCCCTCTCTGTGGCAAAGGGAAGCTGTCCAAGCAACATCTGCTATTTAGGCTCCAATCCAATGCTTGCTGTGGAAAGATTCCCATCAACTTCAAAAGGCTTTGGACAAGGCCCAAATAAAGAGTTTACTACCACTTTTGAGTCTACTTGTCTAGCTTTTTTTTTTTTTAATTAAAAAAAAGCAGTGTAGCTACTCAGTGAAAACAGCATTCCTTTTTTTACTAATGAGCTGACAACAAAATTGCAGCAGAGCCCTGAAGAACTGACTCTTACTTCTTCAGGAGGATGAGGACTGCATTGGCTGTGCTGGCATCAAGGCCAGTCGTTGGCTCATCCAGAAAAAGGACTGGTGGCTCTGTGATGAGCTCCATCCCAATGTTGGTTCTCTTCCGTTCCCCTCCAGAAACTCCCCGGATCAATTCGGTTCCCACCTACAAGCAGAAGAAATCAAGTACTTGCAACAAGACCTGGTCAGTCCACGCTCTAGAGCTCAGCGCTCTCCACACCCAGCAGCCCTTTTCATTTGCTGAGTTCTATCAGTGAACTCTAGAGCCAGCAGCAGATGATGGCGTGACTCAGTGTGATGGACTGTGTAGCAGAGCCTGATTTTCAGAGGTACCAGGCACATTATGACTTCAGGGAACAAGGATGACGCTGACAAGAGCCAGAATGAAGCCACAGCAGTCAGAGGTGGCACTGGTGTTCAGGGATGCCTTTCGTCGGCAGCTCTAGAGTGGGTTAAGTGAAGTAAAAGTAAAGTAAAAACGCTGCTGGGAGGAACAAACTCTGCACAGGACTTCTCCATCACAGCCCAGCTTTCCATCCCTCACAGCTTTCAGCACAGTAAAAACAATTTCCCTGTCTTGTCCCCACAAAGCCAGGAAGTGACTGAGCAGCTGTCCAAGATGCTATGACTAGGCGACTTTTTCCCCTCTGAACTTACACAACATGCTGGACATGGTCCAAAAATCTTCCCCTTTTAGTAGCAAATGTACATAACTCTTTCTGAGCTACCTCCTATGCTGGAGACTGATTGCTTGTGTGCAGTATGGTTTAGTCAGGTCCTGGCTTAGCTTAGTGTCGCTGCATTATGCGCCCCATACTGCGCAGAGTCAAGTAATTCAGTTTCCAGAGGTAGGATGGTTTCTAAGAAAGGTATTCTCACTGCTCACCTTAGCGTCAGCCACTTTGCTTAATCCCAGCTCGCTGATTATCTGGGTGACTCGGTCTTCTTTCTCTTTAACACTGATGGAGCTGGGGAGTCGCAGGGCAGCAGAGAAGTGCAGGTTCTCCCTCACCGTCATTGTGCCCATGACAACGTCATCCTGAAAGGAGTACAGATGGACAGTTGAAAGCCTCCTTCTCAGCTACCTGACTGGGCACCAGAGTCCCTGTAGTGGCAGTTGCTGGATCAGCTGTTTGTGGACCATAGTGGAAACTGGACCGAGGAACAATCCCTGCTTCAAAAATTACATGACATGAAATTCAAGGTCACTCAGTAGCAGTCAAGGGGAGAATGCAGCTCTGCAGGGTCCCAGCTTACACCAAGCACCACCTCAGCCTGCTTTCAGGCTCAGGAGTTCAAGTGCAGACCGTACCATTTTGTACTGCACATGCACTTTCCTTCCCAGCCAAAGGGAGGCAGAGCAGGTAGCTGGCTTTGTAAAGAGTTAAACCTCTGCCAGTCCAGCTGAAGCCAACAGACATTGCTAGTGCTCAGTGTTAAAGTAGAGACACTCGGGGAATCACCCCAGTCAGCTCTGTTCCAGGTTACAAGCTATACCTTGCTGTGATCCAAAGCACCTTGCCAAGTTCAGCTGCCAACAAGGAGCTCTCCTCCCAGCTCCTCGCTGGCAGCAGCTCCTCAGAGAAACAAGAGTATTGCACCAAGATGCTCCTGATTTTTTCCGTGTCTCAACTATCTATAACTCTTGGGCAAAAGATCTTATTCTAAGGGCTACTCCTTTAGAAAAGCTTCAACAGTTATGTGCATTTTGAGTAAGGATCAAATCTATCCAGTTGACAAACATCTAGGCAGCTTACACCAACCTGTAACAACCATGAGCCAGAGTTAGCGTCAGGTTCATCCAGAGCTCCATGCCTCTCCATCACCCCTGCTTTGATATTCGAGCTAATTCTGCATCCCACCGTATGGTGGGAGAAGGGCTGCAACACTGGGCAGCTGCTGAGAAACATGCCTGTTAATCAGGCACCTTTCAAATCAAGTGCCCTTTTGGAAGACACAGCCCCTAAGCTGCAGGGCAGCAGATTCTTGCCTGCTTTAGGACTCCTTCCACATCAGATGCACAAGGGATGTGCCAGCCAACCGTGTTTGGCACTGGAGTGAACAAAGGAAGACTGAACGTGCTGCTGTGCTGGAAGAATGTGACAGATTACTCAGGGTGTAGCATTACGATAAACTGGCTTTGCTGCCAAAGCTGGTTTAGGAATTTCCTGCCATCACTTCCCTCCCCACACACACTCAGTCTCTCACGCTAGCCTCCCATTCCCCATCCTCAGATCCACCAGTACAACTCTTGGGTCACCAGACTGGAAACTAAACTGTGAATTTAAGCTACCTTAATACCCAACGTAACAAACTGTGGTGTGACACCCTCACTTGCATGAGTGGAGAGACCACCAGCGGTTTTATAGGGATAACACATGACTTAGCATGTCAATATGCTTATCAGCATAAACCTGACCCTCTAAGTATGTATGTATTTATGTATTTGTATTTATGTATTTAGTCCTTAACTGTTGTTTGTAGTTTTTGGGCCATCTTTATTGATCTAGGGAGTACTGCACAGGGGTGGGAGGGGAGAGAGACGATTTGCACAGGAGTGGGAGGGGAGAGAGATGATTTAATGTCTCACCTAGTTGCCTATCATTTTAAGGTTATGTTTGGTTGCTCTGGATATTTGAGAGACAAATTCTCAAACTGGGATCACCTGCAAGAAACTTCCTGGCCATTCATGAAACACTGAGGATTTGGGGATCTTTGACCTGCAGGATCGAGGCTCAGCCTCAGCCTCATCCCATGCCTCCTCCCAGAGCCCCCCAGCTGGCAGCTTTCAGAAAAGCTGCCAATTTCACATCTGCCTCCAGTCAGAAGCCTGGATGGTTTCCAGATCTGGCTGCTCATATGGCTGCCAAGAATCCCCTACTCCTCTGCTCCCCCAGGGCTTTGAGGGTCTATTTATTGGTCCAGGCCTCCACCCACTTCCGCAGATTCAGACGACTTTTCCTGCCTCTGAGAGAATGAAGCTCTGTCCCAGCCAGCCAGAATCAGAGGAAGAACAGCAGGGGTCTATTTACTTCCTAGAATTATTGCCTCGTAGCTTGAAGGTACTTCTGCCAGCTAGAACTGCTTCTGAGTTTTGCAACAGGAGATTTTGGGTGCTGTGGGTTTTTTCCTCACCTTTTTATTTTTTTTAAACCCTTGCTAGTACTTCAGGGCAAACCCCGAAGAACAAGCCACAGTAACCCAGTGGTTTGGTCATCCATGTGGCTTTGGGAAGACAAACACCTCCGTGCTTGACTTGGCTGGAGTCACAGTTTGATCCTCTTGTCTTCCATATCCCAGAAAAAATACTAAATACTGTGACATCTGAGTTATCAGATTAGACTCTGTAGGGATCATTGAAAATTACCTAACCTAGCAGTTCATGCTTTGCTCATCTGATGCGGTCATCGCTCATCTGATGCGGTCATCCCTCCCAAGGGCTCCCAGGCCTCCACTGCAGGCAGTCACTCACCTGCACAACATATCCTGAGATGCACTTGAAATTTGGAGGTTGTGGGATGCCATCTATAAGCACTTCTCCAGACAGGCCTGCAGGGTCCTTCCTGGCAGCCAGCACATCTAGGAGACTTCAAACAAACACCAGGCGTTAGGTTTGGCCCTAACAGCTGCTTTTACCTTTGACTGAACAAGTACCACCAGTCAGGACTGCGCTTACAGCCTGCTCACGGCACGCCGCAAGCCAAAGGGCACAGAGAGGGGCTTCCTCTACTCTGGGGGCTTTAGCTCTTTGTACAGAAACCCTGGTGTAGATACAGGAATTTCCAGCGCGAGGTTTGCCCCAGCAGTATGGTAGCATATGGACCCTCACAATTCACAGCCGCCAGCCCCCTACAGACAGAAAGCCCGTCTCCGCATGAACAGCTAACCCCAGGCACGCGGACAAAAGCACCCTGCCGGGTGGCTGCGCTCTGCTCTCCAGCCAAGGGGGCACAGAAGTAGCCACTTTGATCTCAAGTAAATTAATCCAAATGGGTATAAACAAGACTAGAGTTAAGATTAATTCTATAAAGTAATTTTGTTTTAACATATCACTGGATTCTCCTTACTGCCAAAGCAGAGGCCAGCCTGTCTGCTAGCTAAGTAAACACTGCCCTGATGAAGCGCTGCTTGGAAAACATCCTGATTAGGCAGCAGTCTCCTTAGAGGGGTAGATCAAGGGTCATCACAAAGACACACCTGTGTGAACAACAGCCGTATTTGCCAGTCTCTGACATTCTCAAAGGCAGAGAGTGACAAAGAGCTCTCTTACCACGGTTATACGGGAGAGAAAACAGCATCAGCACTGGCTGGAGATAGTCCAATGGTGTTTCTCTGTGCTTGCATCCAAAGAACTCAAGCACATGTGCACCCCCACCACCAGGCCACAGCCAAGCTGGGGTGAGGATCCAAAGCATCCTACAGACTGACATTACACCATATTCCTGTTGGTCATCAGAGAGGGGTTTGGCCTAGCATCTTCAAGGAAGTCTTGCTGCAGCAACTTCAGAGGGGACAACATCCCTCCTGCCCTCCAAGGAGCTTGCCCCCCTCCCCACCCCATGACAGGTCTAGCACAGAGCCCACACTTGAGCTCCAGTCACCCCAGTTCAGCCTGGTATCTTAACTCTGGCCACCACCAAAGGTGAGTGCAGTACTATGGACCACCAACTGGAGCAGATGGGGAGCGTGACACCGCTGGAGGGCAAGGACTCCAGCAAAGCTGACAGCAGAGGGCCAGGAGGTCAGACTGCACCACCAGATTTCTCACAGGCACACAAAGGTCTAAGTCTGCAGATCCCTCATGTTTTCCCCAACCCTCAGAGTCCCAAATCCTCTTTGCGCAGCTGACTGTCCATTTGAAGGAGCAGAAGAACGCACTCACGAAGATTTGCCGCTCCCCGTTGGCCCCAGGATAGCGTTCAAGCCTGGCTTCATAATGCCACTGTAAGAAGGAAAGAGTTATTTCCAAATGGAGGGCTGTTGACATGCAGCTCATAATAGAGGTAAGGTGTGAACAAAATGCTGTTGAAGGGAAAACTTAGAGATTATTAAAAACTTCTCCTTAAATATGAAATCAATAAGCATTTTTCCTTTCTTGTCCCAGACTGCCAGTCAGAAGAGAACCAAAGCTGGACATAAAAAGCAGTCTACAAAAGCCAGAAATTAAGTGTCTTCCCTGCTGAGCTGGGTCTTGAAAATAAGCTACTGCTCTCTGCTGCTCATTTCCTCCCACCGCAGCTTGAACCATAGTTAAGGGAACCCTCAGATCTTCTGGCAGAAGAGTTCACACAAGTTTGGTCCTAATTTTCTCAGATCAATAACTGAAACTGCTCCAGCTATTTCCTGGCTATTTTGCCTAAAAGCAAATTAGAAAGTGCTCACATCAACTGCAGACTGGCAGGAGGGCAGTCATTTCTTTACCAGCACAGCTGGATCCGGAGGGTGACACTGAGGTCACCGATTCACAGCAGCAGATTAATTCCTACCCTCTGGTATGTTATTTAAGCAAGAACTTACTAAACGTTATGAAGGATCTTCTTTTCCACAGTTTTCCGTTTACATAGGAATCCACTGGACTGCTTAATGGAGTACTGGATGTTATGGAAACTCACAACAGAGCCCCGAGGGGATCGGAGTGACTCTTGTGTTGGGAGAGAACGTTGGAAATTGCCCACTCCTTCCTCTTCTCCAACAGAAATAATACTGTGATCAAATGTGTCTTCTGCCATCATGTCCTTGTTGCACAGGTTAAGCTCCACTGCGTGGAGTTTTTTGAGGTCACTGTTGTTTTCAGCAGTTCCCATCTGTTGAGACAAAGAACACAAAAACATGCAGGGAAGGAGACATGCAAACAAAGATTTCTGCAGAAAGTGTCTCGGAAAAACAAGTTCACGCACACCACACCAATCCTTACGCGTGCCAAATTTCCAAAAGGATGGACATCCGCACTGGAAGACATCCAGTAGTCCCCAAAGGCACAGAAACCCACAGATTTAGAACAATACACCATAGCCTTTAAGAATGAGACATATATGTTCTTGAAGTGGTGCTAGCTCAAAGAGCATCTAATGAGGTAAAACCCAAGCCCACCTGTGATTGTCACCATCTTGCTCAGCACAGTGGGGACTACAAATGGAAGCTGCTACCACTTAAGCTAAAAGAGACTCAAGCTCCAGTCCTCCGGGTGTAACACTCTTACCTCCCCTCACATCCCTACAAAGCCAGCAGAGAAAACCTATTGATGAACCTGTATGAAGAACTACAGGAAGAAAAAAACGTTGTGCTTATGAAAATGAAGGCCGGCCACATGCACCTCGTTTGCCAGAACAGGTTTGTTTCAGAGGTACCGATGTGATTAAAATTGCCATTACACGTGTTGCTTACTGTGTTTCAGTCACACCAGTATCACAATACTTCACAACTACAAATAGGAAGATAAATTTGGATTTGTCTGCAGGCGCCATTTACCCTGAAGAACTGCAGGAGTTCCCCCTCCCACAGAGAGAGATCTGGGACATCCCACAGTAAGGGAAGACATGGTACAAACTGGTACATTAAGGAAAATTAAATATGGTATCTATTTGCAATCACAAAGTTAGAAAGCATTCTGGTTCAAGCAGATAAGCTGCCTCTGTAGCTCAGGGTGGGAGCACCTGTAAGGGAGGACATGTCAACAGCCAAGGGAAGGAACTGTTCTCCCTGTCTATGCACCGGGGCCTACAGAGTAGGACATTTAACAATATGGGCATGACCATTAATATCGACTCACTCACTAGTCACAGCAGCAGAGCTCTTTTGTCAAGGGGCTGCTTCCCTTTCTGCTGCTGTAACTGATGGAGACCAAGTTTGGATCCCTTCACTCATCTAAAAAAAATGTTTAAAGTTCTTGCCTTGTTGCTGCATGTGAAGAACTTAGAAACCTTGCGGTCCCCAAGTTCTGCAGCCTGTGCAAGGCCTGGGCATAACTTGTACTCTGCCTTTTAGCCAGGTGTCCTGGCAGCTGTAAACCTGCCTGTCCCCTTTCCAGGTAACTACAGCAAGGAAGCGAAGAATTACTACATACCCCTTCCAGAAACTGAACACGACAGGTTAGACTAACACGAGTTAGTCTAATCATTTACTCCCCTTCTAGCTGCTGGCATGACGGTGTTTGTTGGAAAGCTAAAAATTTACTGTGATGGTGCGGAAAGCCGTGGCAGCCAGCAGACTAAGAGAGCAAGGAGAGCGACCTGTCCACAGAGACATCCACTGCTGGCTACTTGCGTTTCGTGGGAAGGTAGGTGTATCCCACCAATCATCCTTTTCCCACCATCTGCACTTCTTTCCTCCCAGGACTCAGAGGGTGATAACCAGTAGGACCAACAATATCCACCACTGCAGAAGTAGTGGGTTTCTCAGGGAGAGAGACAGTCATCCTTTTAAGAAACAGGGACAAGTTTCAATCTGGCCGAGAGCCAGATTTAAAGAAATGGGAATCGCCCTTTCCTCTCTGCATCTTCCTATCACTTAAAGCTCAAGAAGTTGCAGCAGTTTTTTCCTGTGTAACTAAAATAAAAGTGGTGGGGAGAAGGAAGGGTTGTTTAGCTTGGACACATCCTGAGCTTTACGGCTGGTCACCCCTGGGAAACAAGAAAGGGTATGCTGGTTACATCAGCAAGGGGAGGCTTATATGCTTGAAAGGTTGCACAACAGATCAGGAGGGGACAAAAAAAAAAAAAAAGTCAGGATGACAGTGACATCAGGTGCAAAGACCTGGTTAGGCTTTTGAACATTTGACCACCTTGCGCACCCCACACCTGTTTGGG